CGTCACCTTCTGACAAGTCAAAATCACTGAACCCCAGGGCCATGTTGACTTTCTTCCCCCTTCTCTTAGATGTGGTTTTGGAAGAATTCTGCTTGGCTTGCATGTTTATCTGCATCCCAGAATGCAGCACAGCTCCTGCTTTGTTCATGGAGAAGATATCTCCAAAGCCCATCAGCATCATGGCCTGCAGACTTGGGTTCATGCCATGGCCCTCCCCGTTACTTGCTGCTGTGATCTGACATGACATCTCTGCACTGTTTGACTCCTCTGTTTTAGATTCAAAGTAAGACTCCTCAGACATTCTTGCAGCAAGAGGCAAGAGAAGCTATCAAAGGGAAAGAAAGGACAGAAGTAAAAAAGAGAAATTAGGACCAATTTAAATCAGGGGAATAGATACCACAAAATTAGTTGGTACAACACAGGAGGTAAATGATTAGTGCAATGCATGAATGTAAGGAATGATGTGAGAACTTATTTCATGGCAGATTTGGCATCAGTGTATTTGCCATAATTGATGAATGACAGAGTAATCATAACCACAAGTTTGCAAAGCACCACAGCAAGCCACATTTCAAATGGACAGGAAGGTACACGTTTTAAGCTTTCGTTTTGCTTAAAATCAAATTGCTTTTAGGATTTCCCTTCATTTTTCCCAATTTCACTTTCATATAGAAACATTTTATTAACCATTATATTCATTAAAAAAGAAATCAGGCAGATATTAAATCTCAAGTAAAAATTAAGGGCTCCAATGCCAAGGAAGAAATTCACAGAGAAAGTATGAAAACAGTTCAGCTGTCCATGTGCTCTGCAAATCTGGTGATTGCACCTCCTTTCCTATATCCATATTCTGATTTCCACACTCCAAATGAGTAGAATTCTTTTACTCCCAGTGATGTTTACTGCAGCCAGATCTGCTATCTCATAATATATTCAAATTATTCAGCAATTCACTTATGAACAAATTCTGTCTCTAAATTTTTAAAGTCACATTTACATATAATATGTGAAAAGTAGAAGAAAATTTATTAATTAGTATTAATACTAATTTAGATTTTATCATTATCCTCTAGTATTCAAATCGTGTGTGTGTGTGTGTGTGTGTGTGTGTGTGTATGAATGTGCACAAGTACTGGGGCTTGAACTCAGGGCCAGAGAGCTCTTTCTTAGCTTTTTACTCTCAAGGCTGGTGCTATGCCTCATGAGCAACAGCTCCATTTGTCTTTTTCTTGGTTAATTAAAGGTAAGAGTCTCAGGGATTTTTTTCTGCTCAGGCAGTGTTTGAAACAAGATTCTCAGATCTCAGCCTCCTGAGTAGTGAGGATTATAGACAAGAGCTACCGGTGCCTGGCAGTTTCTTTCTTCTGACAGAACTTTATTCTATTTAGTTTTTCTATCTAGAACTTTATTCTATTCTAGTTCTCTTTCTCACGGAGGAGACAAACATTTCCTACCTTATGTAATTATTTTTAACAGACAAGCTAGTCCCATAAACATTTGGTCATATTTATTTCAGGGGTAAAGCTGTTAAAATGTGACTTACTTAAGCAAATTAAGACATATTTTTTTCATACGGCTTGTTGCTAGTAAATTCGTGATAATGTACAAGTGATATAATTCTAGTATGAACTCTACATTTTGAAAGCAAAGATACCTAATATTTAGCATCAATTTCCTAATTTTTAAACTAGAGTGAAGATTTATTTTTGTGCTGGTCCCAGGGCTTGAACTCAGGGCCTGAGCACTGTCCCTGAGCTTTTTTGCTCAAGGCTACTGCTCTACCACTTGAGCCACAGCTCCACTTCTGGCTTTTTGGTGGTTAATTAGAGATAAGGATCTCATCTACTGTTCTGGCTAGGTTGGCTTTGAACTGCAATCCTCAGATCTTAGTCTCCTGAGTAGCTAGGATATTACAGGCATGAGCCATTCATACCCAGCTTATCCATTTTTATGCCAGCTTCTTCTATTAAGAAAAGACTTATAGGCTTAGTGGTAGAGTGCTTGTCTAACATGCATGAAGCCCTGGGTTTGATTCCTCAGCACCATATAAATAGAAAAAGCTAGAGTGACACTAGCTCAAGTGGTAGAGTGCAAGCCTTGAGCAAAAAGAATCTTAGGTCTGGGCCTTGAGTTCAAGCCTCAGGACTGGCAAAAAAAGAAAAGCGTTCTAGACCTGTAACCTGAGTAACAGCTTTAGATAATTCAGCCAACAAACTGCAAGAATATGAAAGAAAAATATTGCCATAGATCCTTAAACACTGGAAATAGGGTCTTATTTCCCGTGTAGTTGTCTTTTTCAACTTCTCAAATTTGTTTCCAATTGTCAGATCCTTGCAGGAACTCTGTGTTGCTTATTTTATTATTGCAGAAGTCTTTTCTTAGAGTATGTTAGACACTAAAGATTTCCATAAATAGGTTAAGATTTTATTCTTCAAACTTTTATAGCAAGCTGTAACAATAATAAAAACAAAGAACATTCTTCCTATTTAATGTGTAGACTTATCTTCCCAAATATCTTTGTTGTTTTAGGAAAGAAAACAGTGTCCTTGAAATCAATTCAATAACATTTTTATAAAGCTACACAAAGATTAGACTTTTATAATTAAGATGAGGCTACCTACAGGTACCTAAGCCGCTAGCCAATTCTCTTTTAAGATTTATTTTTATAGTTCTTGCAGTAATCTCATTTAAAGGCAACTAGAAAGTAAAATGAGGATAAAAGGAAGTACCTATATAAGAACTACCTGAACATAAACTTGCCTTCCTTCAAAAGTAGCAGCTCTAGGCAGAGGATACATTAAAAGCAAGTACATAAAGAAAGACAACTCAGCTCCTAAGTGGGAAAAGGGAGGAAAAAAATCTCACTAGCTTGTGCTTCCTGCTGTCCATTGTTAGCTGGAAGCCTTCAGAATGGCTCCTTTACACTAAGTTTTCTGGAGTTAAAATGCACTCATACAACCTACTGAGCACTCACAGTGTTTCATTATTTATTACACAACTATGTTACCAAGAGCGATAATGTGTACAAGGCAGCCCATAATTTCTCAGCAAAAGGGATGCCAATAAACTAAAGAAAGGGTTTAAAGCATACTCCAATAGGTGGCTTAAAGGTGTTTCTTTTCTCTTACAAACCTACATTAAGAAAGCATCAAGCCATGCAATGCCTCATTAGCTTAAGACTTCACTGCGTTCAAGGAAACAAAGCAGGAGACCCCCTTGGATTGCAGAAGACAAGAGGCAGGGACATGGGTGCCCTGCCACTCCTGCCCTTGCCCCACCAGCCTGAGAGAAGCAGACCCTGGGAGCCTCTCCCTGAGTCTGCCTGCTGCCTCCAGTTCACCTGGAACAGACCCCACCCCCTTACCCCAGCTTTTTCTTGAAAGTCACATTAAATTCAGGAATTTATCAAATGTCCTCAACACTTACACATAGCAATTCAATTCTTATTTTGGGGTTACCTGGATTTCCAAAGTGATCTTTGCAAAAGTTAGATATGATTACAAACAATTAACTTTATTCGTCTCCCTTGTGGATACTGGGCTGTTTCTCACACAAATTAGAACAGGTAACAAACTATTGAATTGATTCTTTAGATACTGGAACTACTCTGAAGCTAGACACTGACTGACTGCTTAATGGGGTCAACAGTTGAGATACTACAGCTTTCTAGAGATCACTGATGAGAGGCATTTAAGCTAGTTTTGTTTTGTTTGTTTAATTGTCAATTAGCTTATCCCCTACTCCCAGTACTGAGGTTTTGGTGTTGTCCCTTAGCGTATTTTTTGTTTTTGTCTTTGTTTGATTTTTTTGCTCAAGGCTGGCACTCTCCACTTAAGCCACAGCTCCACTTCTGGCTTTTTTTTGCTGGTTAACAGGAGATAAAGAGTCTCACAGACTTTTCCACCTGGGCTGGCTTTGAACCATGATTCTCAGACCTCAGCTTCCTAAGTTGCTAGGATTATAGGCTACTGGTGCTTTGCTCAGTAAGTTTATTCTTTTTGTTTTTTGGTTGGTTGTGGGGCCTGACCTGGGTCTGGGTGCTGTCCCTCAGCTCTTCAGCTCAAGGCTAGCACTCTACCACTAGAGCCATAGTGCCACTTCCAACTTTTTCTGCTTATGTGGTGCTGAGGAATCAAACCTAGGGCCTTATGCATGTGAGGCAAGCACTCTACCACTGAACTACCTTCCCAGCCCCAGTAAGTTTACTCTTAATTTACCATTTCTTTTGTGATTTTATACAGTCACATATTGCCCATTTAAAAAAAACATGGAAAAAACAATTCTAAATTAGTATTTAATTCCTGAAGTCAAATAGGGAATGTTGAAATTTGATTTAATTTTAATATCGCATATAAGGTCAAGATTAGTATACAAACAACAAAATCTTTAAAAAGAATTTCTTTGCTCCGCTAAATGTAAGATAGAAGATTAGGGTAGAGGAAGTCTTCCTTGATGTAAAGCATTGTGGAAGCTTGCCCCAAGAGAGGTCTTTTTTTGCAAACTTTTGCTGTCTATGATCATATCGTTGAACAGAGATAGGAACATTAATATCAGCATTGCCTATGTCATCAGCTAGCTCAGTTTTAGAAGGAAAATGTGGTTAAGTCTGACACATCAAAGATGTTTTTCACTGCCTTGGAATGACAGCTATTAATTACTGATCAACTAGAAGAAGTTAAATCAGCATTTAGGCACATACTGAAAAGAAATAGCAGAAAGTATGCCAGATATTATTTTTTTGTGCACTCAAATATACACATACACTGGAAAATAACAAAGCTTAATCAAAGAGCTAGAATGAAAACAATCTTTTTCTTCTATGTCTCTGGCATTTTGGTTAATTTATACACCTTGCCTTTAAGACATAAGCACACAGGCAGGAAACTAGAAGGTGGTGGCAGGGGCAGGAAGAAGGCTGAGTCACCATGCTGCATGCTGCCATGCTGCCATGCTGGCTGGGTTCTAAGTGCTGCATGGGCTCTGGGGGGAAAGATACTCACCGGGGTGTTGGACTGCTCTGTCAGTTTCTGCTCCCACATCTTTAACCGCCTTTCTCGCTCTTTGAGCTCCTGCTCTTTAAAGCTGAGATCACGCTCCAGTTTCTTTAGCCTCTCAAGGGTTGCCTCAATTTCACACCTACACAGAAATAACTGAGTTAAGTGTCCATGCTTCTGAGGGGATAAATGAGGCTAGGATGTCTATTCAAACACCAATCAGTGCAAAAGACTAAGCTGTGTGTGTGTGTGTGTGTGTGTGTGTGTGTGTGTGTGCACATGCATGTGCATGCATGTACTATCTGCTATTATTAGAACTGGAACTCACAGTCTTATACTCTTACTTAGCTTTTTTGCTCAAAGCTGGTGTTCTACCACTTGAGCCACACCTCCACTTCTGGCTTTTTGCTGGTTAATTGGAGGTCAGAGTGTTACTAACTTTTCTGCTGGCTTTGACCCACAATCCTTACATCTCAGCCTCCTGAGAGGCTAGGATTATAGGCATGAGCCTCTCAAATCTGGATCAGGAAACAACAAGAGAAGCAGGATTTTTTTCCATTAACAGCTTGTTTCTAGTTTAGAAAAATAAGTTCTCAAAGTATCTCAACAAAGCATTGAAGAGCCACTGGGGCACAGCATAAGCTATGAAGCTGGTTCACGCTCAGTCATTTATTATATGCTTGTATCCATCTAGCTCTTTCAGTTTACAAAACAATAACATGTAGAATCTTACTTTATTTCCATAACAACTCCAAGTAACAGGCACTGATCTTGTATGATGGATGAGAAAATGATACTTTAGATAGGTTATCGATATCATGTCATCAGCAAGAGACTCAGATGGCTCTGTCTACTCAGTGGCTGAGTAACCTAAGCAATCAATTGATTAACCTGACTTTCTTTGGTTGTAAGGGGTGGGGTGATGTCACATTTTCACAAGTTACATGAGCCTAAGAATTACCTAGGCAGCTGTTCAAAACAAAAACAAAAATAAAGCTGTGTGTGTGTGTGTGTGTGTTAGTTTTTTTTTTTTAAAGTAGTTTATTGGAGATAAGAATCTTGTACTTTCCTGACAGGTTGGCTTTGAACCTGGATCCTCATATCATCTCAGCCTTCTGAGTAGCTAGGATTACAGGCATGAACCACTTGCTCCCAGCTTTAAAACAGATTCTTAAAATACTTCTTTGGAGTTCATGACTCAGTATGCTGGAAATTTCCACTGTTAAATAAAAATCTGGGGCCAGGCATGGCTGGCTCACGCCCATCATCCTAGCTACTTAGGAGGCTGAGATCTGAGGATCACAGTTCAAAGCCTGCCCGGGCAGGAAAGTTCATGAGACTCTTATCTCCAATAAACCACCAGAAAACTGGAAGTGATACTGTGGCTCAAGTAGTAGAGTGCTAGCCTTAAGCTGAAGAACTGAGGGACAATGCGCAGGCCCAGAGTTTAAGCCCCAGGACTGACAAAAAACAAAAACAAAAAAAACCCTGGGTTCTTTTTACAATTTGGAAAGCACAGGACACCAGGGTCTAGAGGAATTCAGGGTCTCTACAATATTCACCATTTCTAAGAGAAGTTCCCTGCCTCATTTCTGGGCCAATCAACATCACACTTGGAGTATGACCAGTGACAGAAGACTTTCTTCATAGAAACTGAACTGGTAAGACAGCTGGGCACAAACTATCTCCTACATGGTTGCCACAATGTTAATATCTAAATTTATGTTCTAAGAACAGCTTCTTTTCTGTTTATGTGGTGCTGAGGAATCAAACCCATGTCCTCATGAATGCTAGGCAAGCACTGTAACACTTAGCCACCTTCCCAGCCCCTGTTTTTATTTTTCAAAAGGAGGATTAAGAAGCTGGCCACTGGTGATTCATGCTACTCTAGCGAAAGGCTGAGATCTGAGGATCATGGTTCAAAGCCTGCCCAGGTGGGAATGATCTTGAGGCTCTTATCGCCAATTAACCACCAGAAAACTGGAAGTGGCACTGTGGCTCAGAGTGGTAGAGTACTAGCCTTGAGCAAAAGAGCTCAGGGGCAGTGCCCAGGCCCAGAGTTCAAGGCCCATAAACCACCAAAAAAAAATAAAAAAGGAAAAAGGAGGATAGGGCGGGGGTGGGAGGGAGTGTGGTAGGAATCTAATATAGAAAACCTTAGGGTAAACCTTTGTAACAAAAAGTGAGTGCGACATCTTGAGGCAGTAAGGGTCAGAGGGCATGCTCAGTAGTGAGCTGGCAGTGGCCCCATGGCTCATCTGTGTGGTGGTGCTTTGGCCAAGCCAGCCCTAACTCTTCTTCCAGTGAGACCAAGCCCACTGATTTTCTTTTGGCTCAGAATAAATAGCCAGCATGGTCTGTTTCACTTGTAACTGAACAAAGGCCGCATCTCAACTTCCAGCTCTGGGAATGCACTGCAATTGTGAGCCCTTTTGGAAATCGGATCAACAGTTAAGTTAGCCAAGTAACACACCTACAACACACCTATAAGTGCTGCCCCAAGGGAAGTTTCTTACCCTCAACCTGTCTCCTCAGGCCCTGCTCCCTTACCCATCTCCAGGATGTGAGGTTAGTATGACAGAAAGTGACCTTTACCCTGTCTACATGCAGAAGGCACCCCTCCCTGCTGTTCCCTTTTTCTTGTACATCCGTTTGTATCAGATGCATTTATTGATGCATTATATATGACCTTCCTATTCTAAAGGTATCATTTAAGTGTCTGGGTTGAGGGAAAACCAGTTTTCTTTTAAATCAAATCCAACCAAGTTGATTTCAACGATCAGTTTTCCCAATGTTCCCTTTACTAAGATCTAGGTTGTGTGTGTTTGTGTGTGTGTGTGTGAGAGAGAGAGAAAAAGTGTGTGTATGTGTGCTTTCTTTTGGGGGAGTTGTTGTTGTTTGTTTGCTTTTCAAAGATGGGATCTGCTATAATGCTTTGGGTTTGAACTCAAGATCCTTGTACTTAGCCCTCTTGAGTAGCTAGGCCCACAGGTATGAGCCACAATGCCTTTCACTTTAAAATATGTAAAAAAAATTACATTTATCAATCAGCCTTAGTTTAGGAAAAGTTTAAATGAAGATATACAACTAGAAAACCATCTTTAAAAATCTTAAAAAATCTTATTGCCCTGTGACTTTTTGATACTTTTCTTTATATGGAAGTACACATACATGCTAATATATACTCGCTTTATAGCATTTATAATCCTTCTAAACAAACTTGGTCATAGCCTCCATTTTAAAAGTTTTGTTTATATCTGTGAATGTTTTTGCATTATGCTATGTATGGAAATATCATTCACAAGAATCATTCCCCTTCTATTGCATGTCTAGATTTGCATTTCTAAATGAGGTTTGCTGAATGATGGCCTACAAACACTCCTTTTTTTTTCTTTTTGTGTACTGGTAGTGAGACTTGAACTCAAGGCCATATGCTTTCACTCGGCTCATGGCTAGTGTTCTACCAATTGCCTTTTTGTTCATTAAATAGAAATAAGAAGAGTCTCATGAACTTTTCTGCCCAAGCTGGCTTTGAACTACAATCCTCAGATCTCAGCCTCTTGGGAAGCTAAGATTAATTTGGGATTACAGCTACCAGTGCCTGCCTTCCATTTCTCACATGGCTTTCTTGATTCTTTTTTCAGGAATAAAGAGAAGTGGTAAGATTTCCAGGATGAAGAATATAAACATTTTTAGGGCCTTCAGAAGACTGGCATTTTCTCACCAACACTGAATATTTTCACAATGTGAATTTTTGCCAGTCGGAGACAATTATAGTTCCTTATATTAATTTGACCACTGAGGTTGAATAATGTTCATGGGTTTATTAGCCATTTGATTTCTCCTTCTGTGAAATGCTTTTTTTGTGTTTTTAGTATATTTTAATTACTTTGTTATTTTAGAGATAGCAACTTTTACCAGAAAATAGTTTTCAGTATGTGGTCTGGAGACCTATGGCATTATTTTCAGAGTATTCTTGTTGTCAAATTGTTTTCAGAATAGAACTGAGGCAGAACTTTCCTCTCCTATTCGCTTCCTTTTATAAGTTTATAGAATTTTCCAGAGTCTTCATACATGTGATAGTGCCATAGGATTTATTATTTTTTAGATGAATCAATAAATACGCAAAATTTTCTCAGCCTTATTTTTGAATGTGCTAAATATGGATAGATATGACCCATGGAAACAAAACTTCTTTAGAGCCTTTGATAATTTTTAAGAATATAACAGAGTTTTGAAAGGAGAACATTTGAGAAATGCTGATCCTATTGCATAGGGAAAAATTGTAATTGCATGTCATTTCTCTTGGAAATTTAATACTTATGATGACTATTGTTTTGGGTGCGTCATATGGAGGTTTGAAAGTATTACATAGAACATTTACCAATTTTGCTTTTTTTATTTTGTTGGCATATGCTAACTAGTTCTCTATCTCAGTAAGTTAATACTAGTATCAAAATCCCACAAATCCTCTAGTTAACAAGATCAAATAGCATTTCCTCTGGGAATGCTTTTATTATAACCTCAGACTGGGTCAGATTTCATGGTGAATACCCTCAGACGTTCAGTACTTCTTTGTCCAATGCCTGTCAAAACAGCAGTTGGACAGTTACTTGTACACTTATATTTAGCAGTTTAACACAGGACAGCCCTATGAGAGCATCTAGTGCTTGGGGGCAAGTGTGCTTGCCACTGTAGCTCAGGACCTCAAGGCAGCAGCCCTTCCTGCATAAGCAGAAGTTCAAGGAACAAATGCACGAGTGGCAGAAGCAGTTCTGTCTCACCAAACACGTTTGCTTACATTTATCTTTTCTTGTTCAAGAGTACAATGTCTTTACGTATTACTGCCATTATACGTTCTTTCTCCTTTCCTTCCCTGTATTTTTACTGAGCAATGGCATGTTCCAGATGCTGTGCAAATAGTGATTCACAAAGAAATTGTTGGCTTTCCCCCAACATCTCAGACGGGGGGGGGGACACAAAAAATGATGAAGAACTGAGAGCACATAGGCAGTACTATGTAGCCAAAGCACAGGGAATACTCCCTTGTAGCTGTGCTTGTTCAGCAGGAGCTGGGAAGAGTGGTTCAGGAGAATGGGCAGCTGGGTCAACAGAGAAGACTGACCTTGCAGTGGTCCTCAGTGAGGGAGATACATGCCCCGTCAGGGATCAGAAGCCAGGAACTAAAGGATATACTACTGATATCTTTCAGTGAGAATCGAGAGCCTGGAGTACAGGGCCTTCTGAATCTTTGACACTTCTTCTTCAGGGCAATTGGAACTCATATATGGTGGGGGTGATCTGATTAGATAGATGGGTATTGATCTACGACTGTAGAAAACATGACTTCCAAGTTTTGTTGTATTAATTACTTTGGTACAGACAAAAGTCCCTCACACTTAAGACTTGAATTCATTGTGGTCATTTTGTAACCCTAAATAAATATTCATTAAATTCACTAGCCTAGGTGATTTCAAAGGAATAAAATGAATATGGTCATTGTAAAAGATCAAACAGAAAGCAGGGAAAAAAATGTGTAGGTACAGAAGAACCAAGTGAGTTCTAAAGTGCGTGCAGTATCATCTAGTGCCAGCAGATGGCAGAAGGCATTGCATTAGCATCGTGGCTATCAGGAATGAAGTTTCTTCAACTCTGCTGAGTCAGGGAGGAGTGTCAGCTCCCAAGCACACTATTTATATTCCTGTATCATGTGACCAGCTCAACTGTTTCATCCTGGGCTTACTTTTTCCACTCACACAATACAATTCTCTCATTACTGAGGTTGTTTTATATTTAACAAGTTTTAATGAGATGTATAAACATACAACGCTTTCCTTTAAAAGAGTGTTCCTGTCTACCCCCTATACTAGTAGATTGTGTTCTGCAAATTTCAAGGCTAAAGTTGTTTTTCTGGGGTGTGTGTGTGTGTGTGTGTGTGTGTGTGTGTGTGTGTGCGCGTGTGCGCGTGCACGTGCGCTGGTCCTGGTGTTTAAACTGAAGACCTGGGCACTGTCCCTAAGCTTTTTTTTTTTTTGTGCAAGGCACTACATTCTACCACTTGAGCCACAGCTCCACTTCTGACTTTTTGTGGTTAATTGGAGAGAAGAGTCTTACAGACTTTCCTGCCCAGACTGGCTTTGAACCACAATCCTTAGAACTTAGCTTCCTGAGTAGTTAGGACTACAGGCATGAGCCATGGGCACTCAGTTACAAAAGAAGCTAAAGCTTCCTAACACAGAATTTATACAGAGAAATGTCTGGTAACCATCTTTTGTCTTAGAAGGTATTACTTCAATGTTCTTTCCAAATACTTAGACATACACTAAACAACAAGCTTAGAGAAACTCTTTGTTGCTTGCTTATGAAAGGCAGGACTTTTCTCTATCCCTAAGCTCCACGTAGAAATCAGGCCTGCTATCCACGTGTCTGTGGTTTTTTCTCCACTGAGATTGGGAGCCAGGACTGGAATGGAAGTGTTACCCACCTCCATTCTGCCTTGTTGTGCAGGAATGAGTTACACTGGTCGGGAAGGTTCGTGTCATTTGACATGGACTCCAAAATCAAAATGATTTGCTTGAATGATGGTCTTTTCTGAAAAAGAAAGGAAAACAAAAACAAAACAAAAACATTAATCACGTGTGGGAACTTAAGAGGAAAAGTAGATAGCCACCGCATAGGAGTAAGTTCAGCCCATCACAACCAAAGACACCATGAAGCAACGTTATGACCTGATTATTTTACAACTCTCAGATCACGCAGGTTCAGGGAAGCATATTTTTTTTATTTCAATTAATTATTCATGTTGTTTTCCTACCATGTGGCCAAAAGCTGGGATAAACAGTATTTTTTCTGTAAGTAAGGAGAGTACTAATTCTCCCTTTCAGGTATGAGTAAAAATTTTGAAAAGAAAAAGTGAAGCCTAAATTTAAAAAGCCACCTAGGTACCCAGGCACTGGTGGGCACCTATAATCCTAGCTACTCAGGCTAAGATTGAGGATTGAGGTTCAAAGCCAGCCAAAGCAGAAAAGTCCATGAGACTTTTATCTCCAATAACCAATAAAAACTCAGGAATGGAAGAGCGCTAGCCTTGAGCTGAAGAGCTGAGGGACAGCGCCCAGGCCCAGAGTTCAGGCCCCACGACTGGACCCCCCCCAAAAAAAAGAAAGACAAAAACCCAGGAATGGAGTCATGACTCAAGTGTAGAATGCTAGCCTTGAGCAAAAAGTTAAGGGAGAGCATGAGGTCTTAAGTTAGAGCCCCAACACCAATGCGCATGAGCGTGTGTGCACATGTGTGCATGTGTGTGTGCTCACATGCATACACACGTACACACACACACATATACACACACACACTCTGTGTGATAAAGCTGGTAAAAATTTAATGGTAATATGCAATGGGTGTAATAGTGCTCACTGTAAAAGTCTTTCATCTTTTCTGAGGTATGCCTTTTTTATATAAAATATTGGGGGATGAATCAAATCTGCCTATTAATCTAATACACTCTCCCAAATCAGCTGGTCAGGAACTAAAAACAAACCTATTTAAATCCATCTTAACTTTATTGTTCTCAATGTTTAATCGACATTAAGATAAGCTTTAGTTCAGGGTCTCTGTAAGGTGTTGTTTGGCAGAAATTGAAAAAGCCACAGTTAAGAACTAACTACACTAGTCATTCTTTAGACTTGAGCCAAGGTGGAGACAAAAGGTTAAAACAAAAATGGAGAAAGATAATAAAAGGATGATGCAAGTTCTCTCTTCATCGGGCCTCATAATTATACCATTTCTGCACAAATTACAGTTGCAGCAATTAAAACATGCATTTTAATTTAGGAGCACAAAAACAAAGAACAATGTTGAGGTGGCTTGCTCATGGGACTTGAGTTCTTCCTACATTGTTAAGGAAAAGCAATTTTTCCATTTCTCAGAAATGAAAAATTAGAGTATTTTCTGGGTTGTCATTATTGTATATGTGTTTTTTTTAAGGACCTGCATGCTTATGTGTGTGTACACAAAGGTGTATGTGCAGTGGGCACACAGAGTATGTGTGGATGGGTGCATCTGTACTTGTGTATATATTTCAAGTACAAGGCATAGCTGGAGGGATGATAGAGCATGTGCTCAGAAGCATAAGTCCCTGAGTTCAAATCCCATTACTGCAAAAAGGAAAAAAAAGGCGTATGTTTAAATGCCAATGATGAACAAACAGGAAAAATGCCTTTAGTAGGAAATCTGAAAAATATTCTTTAGCTGTTCCCATCTGAATTTCTTCCACCATATGTCAGATTTTAAAAGAAAAAAATGCTTTAATTGTTTGAACAAGATCTAATTATATAATAAATATAGGGATTTCCTTTTGTAAGGAAAAGCAGCAGGAGGAGTCTGTGAATCTTTAAAGAATATTCTTTTCCCTACATTTGATCATTTTGAAAAAAAGAGCAACTCTTTTGTAATTGGGTGACAAGCATCCTTAGTGGGGAAAAAAAATCTTTATTTTATAGTTAAAATCTATTCTCCGAAAGGAGCAAATGAATCTTCTGAAAGCAGCAACAGCAGAGCATACTGGTGCTTGCCTGTAGTCCCAGCTACCTGGGAGACTGAGGCAGAAGACTGCTGGGGCAGGGGCTCAGGTCTGCCTGGGCAACACTGTAAGACCACCCCCTCAAATAACAACAGTGAAGAATTTTGCAGTGATGCTTTCAATTACCTTGGGTTCAGAAAATAACATTTGGTTTAGGATCTACAGATGTTTCTCTGAGGGGCTTAGGGTCCTTTTTTAAGTATAATGCAAAAGATGGCTTTTTTGGGGGGGTGCCAGTCCTGAGGCTTGAACTCAGAGCCTGAGTGCTGTCCCTGAACTTCTTTTGCTCAAGATTAGTGCTATAGCACTTGAACCACAGCTCCATTTCCAGCTTTTTTGTGTGTGTGATTAATTTCTGACTGAGTAGCTCTAGATTTCCTGCTAGAGAACTAAAACATGCCTGTCAGGAAGTTTACAATGATCTGGCTTCGGTAGACAAGGTACCGGATTTCTATTTACTAAACTGATACAAAGTACTATAGGGAAGTATGCAAGGGAACTAAACTATTCCCTCATAGAGCTGCTGTCCATTTGACAAGAAGATTTAAAAAATGCCATACTCCAAGGGAAGGCAATAGCCCAGACTGAGTTTGGAAAAAAAGTCTAAGTCTGGCCAGGCTGGCAGAGTAAGCAAAGAAGGACCAGTGAGGGTTCAGGAAAACGAGAAGGAAGAAAACTTTCAGAAGGAAAACTAGAAGGAAGAAAACATGGTCAGGAGTGAAGGTATCTGAGGTGTGCCTGGAAGATTAGCAATGGCAGGTTGGAAATGCAAGCCAGCTGTCTGATTAAATTAAGTACAGGGGCATGGAGTGGTTTATCAGAATAAAATGTTATGAATTTAAGAAATAAAAACCTGATTATCAGAATAAAATGTTACAAATTTAAGAAAAACAACAACTTTAAACTTCATACTTCATGCAACAGGAACACAAGATTCTTTGGTCTTCTAGAAGAGTCAAATCCAGTGTCCTTATTGTGGGAGGGTTTATACCATCATTTAGTCAATGAACATTTAGTTATACATGTATATATTTGGAATTTATTAATATAGTACTGAGCTTCTGATTAAGAAATTAAAAGCTTACTCTGAGCTCACTCTGAAATATAATTACAAATATATATATATATAGATAGATAGATAGATAGATAGATAGATAGATAGATAGATAGATAGATAGATGAGCTTTCTACTTAAGAATCATGGAGAACAATCCTACCAAAATCGGTGCATGTGTTACAAGGGACATAAAACTAGTAGGACAGTGGAGAAAGAGAATATGATACTGTTTAAACAGTCTGAAACACATGTTTTAAAACAAGTTTGTAAATGTCTGCTAATCATTTCTATTGTATTAGTTATAAAGTGCAATTTCTCTATTGCTTAGAGATCTTCACATTCTCCAAAATCCCACCCTAAGAATACAGGGCCTACACAGGGTTAGAACTGATAAGATACATGGCAGTGTTGTTACAGAGTACTCATAAAAACAAGGAACACAGTTTTGAAGCATGCTACATTCTTTAAAGAACTGATTAAAGATTTAATTGTATATTGTGTATTTCAGCCTTTTTCAACTAGAAAAATGGCTGAAGAAGGTTGAAGAGTGTTAGTGAAAGCAAAATCTAGGATTAGGGACTGCAGGACAAAGGCTGGCATCAATACACATGAGCTTTCCCAGCATGCCATGCAGGAGCACGTGGGATAGAAGGCCTCTGAGCCCTGGGCCCTCCAGCTGCCTTATTAGCTGCATTATTATACTTTGCTCTCAGTGTGGGAAAAAATACTGGGGAAAATTCTTCTTGAATCCACATAAATTGTTTTATTAACATAGTCAGCAAACCCACTAATTGAGTTATTTTCACTAGAGCAGCATTTTGCCAAAGAACCGACTGCATGCTATATCATCCACTCTTCTGTGGGTCAGGCTGGAACTGGGTATAAATCAAGGAAGAATTCCATTTTTTAGTAGGCTTCTATTTCTAAGGTTAATTATAATACTTTCATTTCCATGAAAATCTAGACAAATGTGAACTATAAATATTTGTTCCCTTCTAGACTGTAATTGCTCTCTCATGCTAATGTTTAATATGTGAGACTCTTTTTGATATTTTACCTTTTTATTATGGAAAATTCCAGACACTCATAAAAGTAGAAAACAACCCCAATACAACAAACCTCCAGATCCCTCAATTTGTTTAATCCACATCATCATCCATTTCCCTTCACCCTCTTTTGAAGCAACTCCAACACTAGCTATCATTTTATCTGTCAATATTTCTACATGTCTTTTCAAATGATCTTTAGAGGGGAAAGGAAATGGGCTACTCATGCTCCTATGTGATAACACACGAAAGCCTGTTTTGGAGTTTCTCCAACTCTGTTTTGATAGCCCAAAAACATTCTTGACACTGGACAGAGAGGGCAAATCAAGAGTCTCTAGAAATACTATTTTCGTCTGCTCTTTGGTGAGAAAGACAACATAAAGTAACATTATGCCAGACTTCTTGGGTTCATGTGCAGCCCCATTGGGTACTTGCTGTGTGACCTTAAGTCATTATTTAACTGCTAGGTGTCTTGGTTCATCAGTAAGATAAGGAGAATATGCCTGTTTCATTCTGGGGAAGGGATAACAACATACATAAAATGTTTGAAACAGTGCTTACTTTAAATACTGTTTGTTCCCCACTTTTAGACCACACAATTTTTTTTGGGGGGGTGCTGATACCTGGGCTTGAACTCAGGGCCTGGGCTTTTAGATTTAGCTTTTTCCCTCAAGATGAGTACTCTACCACTTAAGCTACAGCTCCACTTCCTGCTTTCTTCTGGTTAGTTGGAAATAAAAGTCTCATGGACTTCTCTGCCTGGGCTGGCTTTTAATGGTGATCTTCATATCTCAGTCTCCTGAGTAGTTAGGATTACAGGTATGAGCCATAGGCACACAGTACAATGGTTAGTATTTAAAAATTAAGCACAAAACTATTTTTACAGAGTCAAGAATACAAAAGAGGGCTATGAGGAATATTCCCTATGAATCTTCAGAAATTGATAAATCTCTTTTTTTTTGTGGGGGGGGGTCCGGTCGTGGGACCTGAACTTTGGGCCTGGGTGCTATCCCTCAGCTCTTCAGCTCAAGGCTAGCGCTCTACCACTTGAGCCACAGTGCCACTTCTGGCTTTTTTCTTTTTGCTTATGTGGTGCTGAGGAATCGAACCCAGGGCCTCAGGCATGCAAGGCAAGCGCTCTACCACTGAGCCACCTTCTCAGCCCAGAAATTGATAAATCTCTAGAGATGAGCAGATGCTGATATCACCTTCACAGTAAGCCTGCGGCTCACAGGAATAGCAAATTACAGCCAAATCTGCATTGCTGGCTAATACATTTTGCTAACTCAAGTTTTAGAAACACAAACCATACAAGTGATCTTTAGAATTGTGAACAGCAACAGAATACCTTGGCATCAGCTTCCCAACACTGGTGTAACAGTTCAGCAAAACTTCTGGGGCAGCTGCTTGGAATGGTCAGCCTCTATAGTAGACAGAAGAACAAAATAAAACATGAGCCAATACCACCAAAGGGTCATGAGAAGGTCAATTCAGGAGCAGATGTGAGACATGACATTTAAAGCTTTCGTGGACTAATAATATATGACAAGGGAGAATTTATGTTTAGATTTGGAATATCTAATTTCTAAAGACTTTTACTTTTCCTCCAAGGGGACATGGCAGGGACAAATGCAACAAAGGCATGAATAAGGCAAGGAGACTCTACAGTGGGACAGGACCTAACTGCAAAACCATAAATTTAGCCTGGTCCCAGTGTCTCATGCCTGTAATCCTAGCTACTCAGGAGGCTAAGACCTGAGGATCAAACGGTTTGAAGCCAGCCTGGGCAAATAAGTCTATGAGACTTTTATCCCCAATTAACCACCAAAAAAGCCACAAGTAGAGCTGTGGCTCAAGTGCATGAGTGCTAGCCTTGAGCAAAAATGCTCAGAGACAGCATCCAGGCCCTGAGTTCAAGCCCCAGGACTGGCACCACCACCACCTCTCCCAAAACTCCACAAATTTATCACACTGTTTTCACAGACAACTAATAATATTGGAAAAGAGGCAGGGAACTCAAAAATGGCTTTATTTTGGCAACAGAGGTACAGCTTGAAAACAGCTTCAACACAGTGGATCACAGAAACAATTTGAAAGGACTGTGAATTTTCTCATGGGTAAATAAGATCCTCTGAATGTAAGACTCATTATGGCTTTGGTTTTGGTCATACCCTTATGTTTAAAGAACCTGATCCAAACCACATAATCGTATGAGGATCAATCCATTCTAACATTCTGACCACATTATTGTATGAGGATCCATCTATTCTAACATTCTGTGGTAGTGGCTCTTATAGAAGATATCATACTCTTAACTGAAGAAGGAAATTTTGTCTTAAAGATCGAAGGGACAAGAGTTATAGTTCAGTGAGACAGCACCTACGTAGCATGTGGGAGGCCCTGAGTCCAATCCCCAGGGCCACACACATAAATGACATCCTTCCATACGCCATCAAATCCTGCATGATCAAGATCTCTCTTGATACCCAGCAAACTGCCAATGTTTTGTGTACATTCATGTACACAAAATAAGCAAATAAGGGAGACTTCTAATTTTTCTAGGCCTAGAATCTAACTTGGATTTACAGATAAATATAAATTAGGTTTCTGAAACACAGTTTCAAAACACAACAAACTTTCTAAGCGTGCAGCTACCAAATAAACGAAATCAAAGGCAGACTTTTGCATTATTCATAATTTTTTCCAAGATTGTCTCAAAGACTGTTGCCAACAACAGTGCTACTCTTGGTACTCTAGCAGGCTGCATTAGCAGCTGTTGAATTCTATTTATCCACATGTGCAACCACCTGCACCTGCCTCATTATCTCCTGTAGTGTGGTCATGCCTGAGCATCTATTTGTGCATTGCAATGTGTTTGTCTGAATTTCCTTTCAGAGGAGTAGGGGTATTCACATAGTTGATGTAAAGAAAGCACTGCGAGCTAGAGACAGCTCAGTAGTAGAGTACTTGCCTATCATGTACAAGGCCCTGGTTTCCATCCCTAACACTAGGAGGTGGGTCAGGGAGTGTGGAGGAAGCACACTGGGTATAATGAAGTTGAGAATAATTTGACTGTATAGTATTAACATTTACTCGCCAGTATGGTCTGCCAAAGAAGTTTTGTACTAGGAAAGTGTAAACTGAATGTAATTTGGCTTGGGGTGGGAGGAGGAAGAAGCTATGTATAAAATTAGAAAAGGACTTGTCTTGACAAGGAGACTGACAATTTATGCTTGCAATTACACACAAACTTAAAATCAAAAGGAAAATAAAACAACCCTCTCCAAATTAAAGGCTAAACTAAGCACTTCTAAACATATGGTCTCATGGACTAGAGTAAGGTGTATTGCTGTTATTGTATGGCACTGTAAACTGCAAATGTTTTGACAAAGGTCAATAGGCAGATCAAGAAATGTACAATAGGAACTAATAGAGAGAGACTATGCAACTTGAATGTACTCCATGTATAATGAAAAATGAGTTTTCAGAAAAGGAAACATGTTTCAGAATAACCTTATCTCATCATTTTCCCATAAGCTGAAATGTCAACTGGCTGAATCAGGTTGATCATTTCTGTCATCTTTTTTTTTTTTTTTTTGGTAGGGGGAGCTGGAAAACTTTCTAGACACACATTTGTGAAATTACACAAAGAAACAGTCACTTAAAATAATCAGACATGGTCAAGTATCAGTTAAATATAGACTTAGACACTGAACTAAATTAGGTATGACATTATAAATCGTATTATTTCTTACACCATTTTCTACATAGGGAGTAAAAATTATTTTTAAGTCAAGTTTTTCTCTTTCTAAAGTGCATTTAAGAGCAGTGAATTAAGTTTTATGAAGACAAAACACATTTTACATAAAAATCTAAGTATTTGTGAAAGAAATTATGCAGCCAGAACATCTTGAATGCCTACTGATTGAGTTTCATGGAAATGACAAAAGCAAAGAAACATATCTCTAGATTTTCAAAATGTCTTAGTAATGTTTTCTTTATTTTATGTCTTCCCTAAAAGTTCACTGTTTACTTTGTAAACTTTAAAGTGCTTTATCAATCTAGTTTTAACAGGATTTAATTGGAAAAAATGATTATGTAAAGGCCTTATTTCATTAAGGATTCAGAAGCAAAGATCGATCTTCAGATACAATTTTTTAAAGCATTGATTTTCTTATAGACTCAAAAAGCAATGCTGTGTGGTAAACTAAATAATGTGCCAATCTAGTTCCCTGGTTTGATCACTGTACCACTACCATGTGAGGTTGTAAATGGAGTTTGAACTCAGGGCTTGGAGTTTGCTGTGCAGGTGGCTCTACTACTTGAACATCACACCGGGTGCAGTGCTTTTTTTTTTTAAATAACTTCCAGTAAGTTTATATTTACTTCAAAATAAAAAGTTAAAAACAAAAGGTAAACCCATATTTAGATAGACATTACAAGGGGACCAGATCACACTTAAAATTTCTTCTTGGTAGCTTAAACACATCATTCTTTATTTAAATGAGGCCTGTTGGAAACATAGCTACCTTTTTCAACTGAAAGTATCCAAAGTAAAGATAAACAATGGAAGAGGTTTTGTGAGTTCCATTTCTTGCAGTCTCAGCTTTGTTACTCAGGAAACTCAGTCTTTGAAAATTACCTTAATGCTATGTCAACAGAATTTGTTTTGGAATCAAGTGCCTCTGTTGATAAGACAAAATGAACATCTTAATGATAATACTAGAAATTGATTTAAATTTAGTTTCTATTCTTTTTTTTACAGATAAGTGCCATGCAGAATGAGAATAGCCGACAAATATTCTTCAGATGTCTGATCTTACTTGAGCTCATTAGAAAGAGGACAGAACTTCTGCCACCTGTGGGTTCTTTCAATTCACTACTCCAGTATGTTAACTCTGAGTACTCTTTGTGGGTTATGAGCTGAATGTACCATGGAAAAACAGACAGTATGAACCATGGTACCTCTGGGGGAACAGAGAGAGATGTCCTTCCTTCCTTGTGTCCAATGTTAAAGAGGTTCCGAGGGTTGTTTCGAAGTAGTCACCAACCTTAAGGCAGCAGTGAAATTCATTTCTGTTTAGCTTTAAGTATGCAGTATTTTTTCAACGCCTGAAATTTACATCTATTTTGCCATTGTTTAGCCAAACTATTGAGATATTAATTATTCAATCTCATATATTTTGGGGGAGTATCTAGTTGGCTTTAAAAATTCTTTCTGTTGGTTATTTCTGTATAAGGTAGACAAGGACAACACATGTAGTAGTGTGCTCTAGAGTCAACTGAAGGTCAACAATTCTCACTCTCATTTGTAAACTCTGAACTAAACATCCAATCATCTCACTGACAGAAGAAACAGAACAGAAATGAGCAGGCCCTAGGATCCTAAAAATAATAGTTATCCTGTGTTGTAAGGTCTTATTAACAGCACACTGCAAATGATTCGCACATATAATGAAAACCAAACAGCCCCCATGACACCATGAATGAAGTACATTCTAGCACAGAACTCTTTTGCATTTCTTAAATTGTCAGCTTTCTCTCATCAAGTTCAGCCATCATCAACATTTCATTAATTCCTGATGAATCACGAGGTGATGTAAGAGATAGAAACATAGCTTTCTCTCATCAATAACAGTGATTTGATTACCCTAGCTTATTCCTGTGCTCACATGGGAAGCAGATCAATGTAATTCTGTTAAAGCATTAAAAAGGGAATTAAAAAATACATACATATAATTCGCCTTTTGGGAAATTATTTTTTTCCTTAAGGTTGTCCTCTTACTCATTGTGGAAGGCATGGACACAATTGGGAAATGAAGCAACTTTTGTGAAATCAAGTTGTTTCACCTGGTAAAGACAATTGCAGGTTTCCATTACGTGATCTAAGTTCTTCTAAAACCTTGATAGTGGATGCTACATCCTGGGGCTGAGAATTTCCATGGCTGTGCGTTTCAGTCCCAATTTTAAACCTTTCAAAACGTAGTTGCTCTCTTTGATATGAATGTGCCATGTTCTCTGATGTAGGCTCATAGGTCCAACTAACTGAAAGCCTCAATTTGTAGCAAGAAGAAAAGCGAGGCTGGGGACACAGCACAAACGGTGTTTACGCCACTGAAGTTCTTTTGAAATGGAAAGGCTCTGCATGAGGAGGCGAACAGTTATGCCACTGCCTCGCCAATTCCAGTGAGGAGCTCATCTTCAATGTAGTGTTCAACGTAGGTGGCAAAACTGTAATTTTTTCCCTTTTTTGAAACTATTTTTTTCTTCTTTTATTTTTGAAATTCTCATCTAAGCGACAGTTTCTTGTACTATAGTGACTCCTGCTGGGAGAGGTAAGTTGAAGTAGCTGAAGGTCTCTTACAGATATATCAACTCCCGGCCAGTAAAAAAGATGTCCTAAACGCGGGAGATGGAGTTAAACTGTTCCCCTACCTTGGACGCAATGGTTTCTTTCATCACTAAGAACAAACCCCTAGGTTTTACAATTGAGACTGAGAAACTAGTACAGTACTTGTACAATTTTTGATCTACAGCATCACGACGTGAAGCTGCAACAATTAGATGTAAAGGGTCCATTCATGAGGAATAACATCACTTTGACCCTTTGTGTTAGCTCCTACTGCTAATCTTTCCATAAGCGTGAACTTACTTTCAATTTGAAGAAGATGAAAAAGTCTTTTGCAAAACCCCAATACTGTTTTCTGATCTATGTACCTGAATGGAGAAACGTAGTCTTACCTCGTTTTTTTCCACTACAAGCCAAGCTACTTGTAATCCTTCCAAACCTTTAAAGGGGACCTCTCTTGTTAGCATCTCCCAGAGAACCTGGAACAAAAAAGGAAATGGAATTTTTATTCTAGTGCTTTATACTTTGGGTACATTACTGAAATTTTTATAAAACATTAATTGTATCTAATTGTCAGACATAACCAACTCCATTGGTAGAAACTTGAACAATATATATATATGTATATATATATGCTCATACATTGAATGTCTTCCATATATTATATACTTCTTTTATTTTTATATGTAAAGGAAAAAACTTAGTTTATGTAGAACCAGACAAAATTTTATGTAATAGGCCTAAATTATTTAACTTGATCTTCTGAGATGTTAGAATTTTCACGTTTTCACGAATCAGATTTTATATTTTGTTAACCAAAAGTATTTCTAACTTCAATTTCTTACACATTTCTCTATAAGAAAATAAGTGGGAATTCAACAATAGTTTCAAATCTCAGTCACATTTCCCTGTAAGAAAATAGCTGGGAATTCAATAATATTTTTTAAAGGTTCCATAATGGCCTCATCAAAAATAAATAAATAAATAAATAAATAGAACATCCAATCCAAATCACTGGCAAGCCTATCTACCTCCCAATAGTAGATACTTGCAAGATTACAACATTTAAGTTTTGTGCTTTGGACAAATTTCCCTCAAAAGAAGTCAACCTAAGAATACATGTTCATGTGCCTATAATGTAATTTAATTCTACCATAATCTAAGAAGTACTTATACATGTTTGTGCTTGCGTAAGTTTATACGTGATTTCAACTCTCTGCAGTCCTTGAGATCAATATGTTAATACATTTGCCCAAAGAAAGTATATTGGTGCTAGGAATGCTGCTGATGCTGGTTTCACTGTAAACACTAAGTAATGGTCATCTGGACACTCAGTAACTTTATTTATATAAATGGTTATCTTAAAAAATGCTTTTGAGGCATCTCAGGCTGTCCTCATACTCATGATCTTCTATCTCAGCCTCTTAACTCCTGTGATTATAGGTGTGTACCATCATGCCTCTCTGACATACAAAGTCTGAGTCTACCAATACTTTGCAAAGTGTGAAAACAATGACCAATAACAATCATGATAATAGCTACTAGTTTTTATTGAGTACCTACTATGTTCCAGGTACCTTAATGTGTCATTATAATCAATATGGATCCTATTAGATAGACATTGTCCTCATTTTATAGGTGAGAAACTAGGGCTGAAGAAAGTTAAATAAATCTGCCCAAAGACATTCAGGTAGCAAGTGGCAGAGCTAGAACAGGAATTGCTACCTCACCATGATGGTCAAGCTCTAAGCCCACAGAAGCTAGAGAAGAAGATGATGATGCACTACAGTATCACCTTATTAGCATGGAGCCATGGAAGTGAGGAGAATTAGGCAGACTGAGATTAGATTTTCCTGGTTTAAAACATAAAAGCCTATTTCTAAGTGAGAATGTAGATGGGATATATGTACTATTTATTTGAACAAGGCTTAGAAACCTTTAACTATAAAGCCACTATTTCTTCAGCCGGCATGTAACCTTATTGGAGGCAGAACATGGTAAATGAATGCTGGCTAATATGAAGATAATTAGCAAGAAAATCAGGGAAACTGGCAGATGCTGCTCAAGCAGGAAGAAAAAAAAACTCACTGAAGCTTCTTTGGGCTTTTAATCAAGTGTGTAAGGTACTTCTTCAGAAGAGCTACTGAATAATTCTGAATAATTCTGTCTGAGTCACACAAGTGATTAGGAAAAAGTAAGGGGCATCTCAGAAGGAGACAAGCGTAGTGATGGCTGCCAGGAAGGAAAGGGTGAGGAGAGCCAGTACAGGTACCCAACCACCCTGCCATACGCCTGTGCAGAGGAGGTGGGGAGGGGCAGCAGGAGGGCTGAGCAGGAAATGAAACTCTTCAATTTACTGCAATCACTACACCATGGTGCCAGGGATGGGAGGGGCAAGGACAGCAAGAGCAAGCAAATGAATAGGAGTGGCATTCCTACAGAGTTTGGGAATTTAGAAACAGCCTTAAATAAATCAAATGTTCCAGACCACCAAATGCTCTAGTGAACAGCCTCATGCCTCCTCCTTTCTTGGTTTGACTGGTAAACACATTGCACACACATGTGTGCACGTGTGTGCACACACATACAAAGACTGGATTTTGTGGGGATAAAGTACAACATTATGAGTTTCAGGAATTAACATCAGGAAAAAAAATTATTCTTTTTTAGTGTTTATTCCAACGTTCTCCGCTGGAAAGTAACCTAAATCTAATAAGACTTGAACTGTATTTCTCTAAGAGATCTTACCCTGAAAAAATAAGACAATTTCATTTTGCATCTTGTGTCTCTGAGGAGTTACCAAAACCCAGATGGCAGCTGATGAACAAACCACAAGGAATCATCTTATCCATGAGCTCATCATGAACTTCCATGTTCAAAATCTCCAACAAAGCCTTCAGCTTGATTCCAGAGCCACATCTTACCATGTTTTCCTTTCATTCATTCATGTATGTATGTATGAATGTATATATGTATGCATGCATGCATGTATGTATGTATGTTCCAGTAATAGGGCTTAAACTCAGGGTCTGAGTGCTATCCCTTAGCTTTTTCTGATCAACGATATTATTTTCTGCTCAACAATATATTCAAAAGATAGTATCAATGATCCTGTTTAGGAGAGTTGCTTATAGTAAGAAAAGATCAAGCTACAGAAACATGCAGATCTTTTTTTGCTGTTGTTGTTGTTTGTGGGACTTGAATTCGGGGCCTAAGTGCTATCCCTGAACCATAGTGCCACTTTTAATTTTTCTGGTGATTAACTGGAGATAAAGAGTCTCACAAACTTTCCTGCCCAGGTTGGCTTAGAACCACAACACTCAGGTCTTAGCCTCTTAAGTAGCTAGTATGAGGCACCAGTGCCCAGCTGCAATTATTTCCTTTTATTAATTCCCCAGGTTTGGAAATATACCAAAAAGTAGGTAGAATGAGATACGATAGCTTTTTCTATATTCAACAAAATGACTTTTGGCACATTAAAAAAAAAAAAAGGTAACTTTGTTGAGAAGTCACTTGGAAGTCTAAAAATACATTAAATGATGCTTTAGAATACCAGGGAGGAGGGTGCAGGCCAAACATTACTGTGATCTTTCACCTTAAAAATATTTTCCAACCCATTGTATATTGAGATGTCCTCAGAGTGTAACTGGGCTCACAAGAAAAATTTCTATTTCCAGTTTGCAGAACAGAAACTTGGACGAAGCTGTGTGCTTCTCCTGCCTTTTCTCTTGAGAACAATAGAAAGCCATTACCTGAGCCCAGCTCGTTCTGGAACAAGGCTCTCCAACAAGAGAGGCTGCGTCTTAAGCTACTGGGTTTTGGCTAAGAAGCTTCCAGAAGCTAATCCTTTCTGCCTTGTCATTAGGCTGGCTTTGTTTCTAGACGGTGGCCCGGCCTTGTGTTCTCAGAAGGTTCATTTTTTTTTTTCAATGATTTTTGTTTGCCTGAAGTCTTTTCTAATTTTTTTTTTTGTGTGTGTGGATTACACACTAAATGTACTTTCTGGCTCTCTCCACAAGAGAAGTTTTCATGAGAGTGTACAAAAATCTCCCTTCTTACAAAATGGAGAGGAGCAATAGTAATGTTTATCTGCTTAGAAACAAGGATCATGAGACCCATTTCTGGCACTGGCTGTGTGTTTATTTTAAGACAGTCCACGGCTAGCTAGTTTTCTCATGTGTTGTTGTAAGAAGCAACACAGATTTATCCAGCTGGGGAGGTCTAGTACTGTTAAGAGAGTGTAGCAGGGACTAAATTCTTATAGCAAGTCTAAAAAAAAAAGCCCAGAAAAATAAAAAGCAAAAACACATTCCAACTTGTGGGTAACTTTTTAAAAAGTCATCTTATCCATCGGTGTGTGACTGCTTTGTACATGGAGAGGTCTCAATCAACAACTTAGTAAGCTCTTAATGAACTTTGGGATATTGTATGTAACCAGATGCTCCTACTAACACAGGCGGTCGACCTGGTCAGCCTCCTCCTTTAGAAAGGATACCAAAGGACACATTTTCCCTAGATAGAGGTAATTTTCAAAGATGATATTACCACAAACTTCAAATCCTAACCACAGCCCCATTGTAATGACCATCCTCTCCTGTTCCTTGATGTCATAGCTATTTTGAAAGCACAAATGCTTTCTTCATGCAAAAAAATCTGACACTGCTCAAACCAGGGGAATCTGGCAGGCATGGCTTGTACTTTTTCTTTTACTAATAGCATTTGTTTAGAACAAACAGAACGAAAGGGGTCAACAACATTAAATATAATCTTGAATTCTTATTTGTAATTAATTTAGCATGTATAAGTACTTCTCTGAAGACAGCTCTGTCAAAAGAGCTCTCTGCATGATGTAAACCAGAACTCTGACCCAATCTCTCACTTCAACACAGAAATTTTTGGGTTTTTTGTTTTGTTTGTACCAATACTGGGGCTTGAACTCTTGGCCTGGTTGCTGTTCCTTGAGCTTTTTTGCTCAAGGCTAGAGTTCTACCACTTGAACCACAGCTCCACTTTGGCTTTTTGCTGCTTAACTGGAGATGAAAATCTCACAGACCTTCTCCCTCACTCTGGCTCTAAACCTTGATCTGAGACTCATGAGTAGCTAGGATGACAGGTGTGCACTAGCAGTGCCTGGGAGAAGTTGCTTGCAAGAAGTCACTGGGGAGAAATCTGTGCTCAGCAGTTTGGGAAGAGCTCTGGCATGTATATGGATCTGATGTTGATATAGTCCTGTGGCAGTGTCTGAGGCAATGTGATTCTCAGGTAGCACTTAGCATCTAAAATGCTCCATCAGCTACAGAGCTGGCTTCCATAAATTAAATTATTTGATAGATTTGTTAAATCTCTTCCTTAATAAAACCAAGCCAAACCAAACTCAGGTAAATCAGCCAGACAGACACTGCTGGTTCAAGCCTATAATCATACTTACTCGAGAGGCTGAGGTCTGAAAATCAGTTTGAAGCCAACCCAGGCAGAAAATTCTGTGAGACATAGGACGTGTCCTATGCTAATGGACATGTACTCTATCACTAAGCTAAATCCCTAGGCCCCTGCCCCCCACCAAGTCTTATATTGTAATAAGTCTCCCACTTTCAGATTCTTCACAAGATGAATGCATGATATAGTAACTTTTGACATAGGAGATAATTTTAGAATCCAGTCTCCTTTAGAACTATTGCTTTATTTTTTCCTTCTTTCATTGAGAATTACTTCAGTACTAGCTATAATAATGCATAGTTTTCATTCTTAGAAACACTCAAAATTAGAGCGATTAATGTTACCATTATCTTCCAGTCTTAAAGGTTAGTCTAGCCTTAAACTAAGACATATATTTCATTCTTGAAATTATTCTTTTTCAATAGGTGACACAATTAATCTCTGGTATGATTCCCTGGTATACACAGGATATGATATGATTTAGAAACAAACTTGGAGGCAAAAGCCTCCAAGTGATCTCAGACAGAAGTAAATACCCAGACACTGCAGAAGGGACAGGCGTGCGCCTGACCTCACACTCTCCTCTCCAGCCAGCAGCAAGCACCTTCGGGAGGAGCATGCACAGGTTCAGGATGAAGAGAGTGCCCAAACTAGTCTGTTTCTTTTATTATTATAAATAATGCAAACATCCTATAAAAAGTGATATGAATAGAGAGCCTGTCCATACAGAGTCTAAATAGAGGGAGAACGAGACATAAAGGTAAAAGATAAAAATACTACTTTGGAGTTTTTAAAGTATATATGGTATTTTAGGAAAAAACTTATCTTCAAAGAAAGGTAACAAGTTCATTTCTCTGGCAATAATGATGGTCATTCCTGGCTTCTTTCTCCCTCATAAGGCAGGAGACCAATCCTGCTTCTTACCTGGGTCTTCCCATGCTCTTTCCTTTCAAAGATCATCCTCCCCCACCTCATGGTTCTATACTTGATGTTGCTCTGTTCTCTTGTAGCACCTTAGAATCACCTCTCAGGTAGCCATTATTACTTCCTAGCATGGGCATTGCTTGTGCAAGGCCATCTTTTCCCAAGTAATTTTCTTCCATAGTTTTAGAAATTCATACAGCAGTTTCATGGTTGACACTCAAACGATTCCTATTTATTAACTCACTTTGGCAGATCTGTTAGTGGTCTGTTAGCACTTAAGCAACGATTACAAAGACAACTTGTTCCAACTGATTAACTCCACTGAATTACACAAACAGTCTACAGGCTTCTTCCCCCCCCAGCAAAAAAGCCCACTCCATAGAGTCCATTAGGTCCAACATGAATTCAAGTTCAATCTAATTTTTTTCTTTTTCTTTTTCTCAAATAACTTAGATACATAAAAGTGATCAGAACATTTTGGCAATCAGGAAGTTCTCTTCCTGTGCCCCTGCTCTAGGCATGCCTCCAGAAAGAGCAGTCCTATCTCAAGGGAAACTAGGTTAAGATGGTGCCATATTTCTTCTTTAGGCTGATTGCTCTATGTATGTACTTTGGAAAATAAGAAATGAGAAACAAACTTACCACACCATAGGAATATGTGTCACAGGTTTCAGACACAGGGAGACTCTGGATAACCTCTGGAGCCATCCAAGGGAAAGTTCCAACCAAGGACATGTGTGTTGTATGGTTATGAAACCGTGAGGCACCAAAGTCACAGATCTGAGAACAGAAGAACCAGAATCAGCTTCCTACTGTCCTATAATATGGGAATACGAAAAACTGAAATGAACAGAAATTAACCACAAGTGTGTGTGTGTGTGTATGTGTGTGTGTGTGTGTGTGTGTGTGTGTGTGTGTGTAAGAGAGAGAGAGACACACAGAGAGAGAGAGAGAGAGAGAGAGAGAGAGAGTGTCCTGGGGCTAAAACTCAGGGTATGGGCACTGGACTTGAGTTCAAGTCTAGTGTTCTACCTCTTGAGCCATAGCTCCATTTCGGGCTTTTTTTTTTTTTTTGGTGGTTAACTGGAGATAAGTCTCAGGGACATCGCTGCCTCAGTGGGCTTCAAATCTTGATCCTCAGATCTCAGTCTCCTAGGTAGTTAGGATTATGGGTGTGAGCCACCTGCACCTGGTTGTTTAACTTATTTTTTTTTTTTTTTGTTGGTTGTGGAGCTTGAACTCTAGGTCTGGACGCTGTCCCTCAGCTCTTCAGCTCAAGGCTAGTACTTTGCCACTTAAGCCACAGCGCCACTTCCAGCTTTTTCTGCTTGTGATGGTGCTGAGGAATTGAACCCAGGGCCTTATGCATGCAAGGCAAAAACTCTACCACTGAGCCACCATCCCAGCCCTATCAATTTTTTAAATTAAAGGAGAGAATCTTACCTTCAATACTCCATCAGCAGCTATAACAACTAAAGAAAAAAGATATGACTATCATTATTTTGTTTGAATAGTTGTATACTAAACAAAAGCAGAATCTATTATATCCAGCTTTAATATAAAAGTATAGAATATAGAAAATTAAAGTCTTCTTCCTTCTCTTAGGGAAAATTCACAAAAAGTTAAGCCTAGATGCCTTCATTATGAGTATATATGCATACCTATCATATACATAGGGTTGGAAACATGGCTCAAGTAGTACAGAGCCTGCCTAGTACCTATAAAGCCCCAGGGTTTAATCCCTAGTACCACCACAAAATGCCCCCCTCACAAGCTATAGTATTTAAAAAATAGTGCTGTTATATAACCTTCATGCTGTGTGTATGGGTAATTGATATTTTCCATTTATTTTATTTACTTATTTTTGTGCTTGTAGTGGGGCTTGAACTCAGGGCCTTCAATTTTCACTTGGGTTTTTCACTCAAGGCTGGTGCTCTACCATTTCAGCTACATCACCACTTCTAGTTTTTTTTTTTTCTGGTTAACTGGAGATAAGATTCACACAGACTTTTCTTCCCCCAGCCTGGCTTTAAACTGTAATTAGATCTCAACCTCTGGAGTAGTTAGGATTACAGGCATGAGCCACCAGTGCCTGGCTAACATTTTCCTTTATTAATCATGGGCTTAATTATTGATTTAAGTAATCACTAATTTCCTATGGAAGATTTAGAATATACTAAAGTCAAATGATTCCTTTAGATTGAAATTCTGAGCAGTAACTGAAAATTTATACTCATACAACTCTGATACATCCTAGTAGATTTTAGACTATTTCCTAATGAGTTCCCATTACCCAAGTATGTCTCACAAGTGTTTAGTTCCAGGAAGCTTCTGTTTAAGAAGAGGCAAAGGCTAAGTGATGACCTGGAAGAGGGCAGGATAACTAGGTAGAGCCACCTGATAGGGTTACTGTGTGTGTTGTGGGACCACTGATGAGTGGCAACTGCCAACAACTTTCTCTGTTTGGCCTTCCCATCCCCCATCAGGCACATGCCTGGGTCTTCTTCATCTCCTTGTCCTCACTACCTATTCTAAGGACCACACCACTAGCAACTATCCATTTTACCTTCAGTGGTCTAAAGGTTTCCTAAAAAATGAAAAAGAAAATCAATGGTTCTTCTCATTACTGAGAACCATTTAGAAAGCACAGAAATTATTCATTGATAGCAAGTTTCCCCCCCCCACCCCCATCCAATTACTTTTTATTTTTTATTTTTTGGGGGGGGTCCGGTCGTGGGGCCTGAACTCTGGGCGCTATCCCTCAGCTCTTCAGCTCAAGGCTAGCACTCTACCACTTGAGCCACAGCGCCACGTCCGGCTTTTTTCTTTTTGCTTATGTGGTGCTGAGGAATCGAACTCAGGGCCTCAGGCATGCAAGGCAAGTGCTCTACCACTGAGCCACCTTCCCAGCCCCCAATTACTTTTTAAGTAGCCACTCTGTTGTTTCTTTAACTAGTTCTGTTCAAGCTAAATAATCCTATTGCCTTTCTCCAATAACTCTGAAATGATGTAATGGAAGAAATCCTGTTACCATTCCTTCTTGGAGGTAATGTCTAATCCTCCAAGTTATTTTAAAATGCTCACACTCCAAAATATACACTCCAGGATGATAAATAAACTCCGGGGGAACAGAGAGAAGAAACCCACAAGCATGCCAATCATTTGGGGGCCCTTCTCCAAGAAATGGGCACAAGTGACATGAAGAATTTTTCACCATACAATTCAGGAGTAACAAAACTCAAGATTATGGGTCTAGAGAACCATCTAAAAATAGAAGACTAAAAATACACTTCTGTCCACTCTGACCCAGCAGTACCTCATTCAGAAAACAGAGCTGTGTTAAAAATTTGGCTGAAAGGTATCAGCTAAACAGTTCTTATAATAGAAAAAAAAGAGACATAATCAATCCAATATCCACAGTCTGTGCTATTCATACTTCAGAGCAGCAGGCAGCTTCTTCAACTAATATTTTGATTTCTGATATTTACTGAAAGTGGAAAGATTTCATGGTAAGTCAAACTATAAGTTACAAGAGAAAGCACCATGCTTATCCCTATGTACAGGTAAATGCCACTTATTGAGAAACAGGTAAAAAAAACACAAATGACTACATTACCATTTCTTGACTTGAGATCCCTGTGAATCACCTTGACAGGAGCCTCCATGTGTAAGTAGTGCATTCCTTTTCATGAAAGAAGGAAAAAAGGCCTATTAGTATTTCCCAGCAACTCTGTGGCAGAAACTAAATCTATATATCCTATTCTTCCATGGTATTTGTAACAGAAACACCATAGAGTTCTACATTAGTCATATAATTTTAGTAAAATTTATATGCAATTTGATTGGGAATAGAGCTAGTTTCTTAAAATACCTAATCAGGACACTTAATCTTTTAGAATCTTCATGAAAATAGCTTTAGTAACTACCAGAAATGGTGCTCTGTAACTAAGGTATTATGCTAGGAAGGGCCTTCTATATCTGCCAAAGTTTTGACGAGGTGGTCAGTTTTCATCTGGATAGCCACAGTTATCTAACTGCAGCTTAGTTCACTTTCTCTGTATTCAATCAAAAGAGCTATGAGCAAAGGCAGGGTAGGGGTGAGGAGCTGGAGGATTGATTAGTTATGGCTGGTTAAGGGTTTTGTGATCTTCTGATGGAAAAATACATAGTAGTAACTAAATAATTTATTATCTTCACAAAATAAGTCTTGACACAAACAAAATTATCTCCAATTATTTTATCATTCATGATATTCCTGTAAATAAATACATAAGTTAACAAGTTTTATTATTTTAAATAAAAATTACACTTTATAAAAGACATATTGCATGGCTAACTGCTCAAAAATGTTTGATTCTTTCTGAACTTACGTGCTATCTCCTCACGTAGAATAAAGAAACAAACTTTTTTTTAATGAAATACTTCCTCTCCCTTCATTTCTTAAGTTCTGTTTTCTGAACAATGAAAAAATAGTCTCTCTCTCCACCAAATCAAACAGGTCTCTTTTAATAATGATCTATCCATACACGTCAACTTAATAACTAGGTTTGGGTTTTTAACATTTATAGGATATTTTAATTTTATAAAGGTTAGTTTATGAATGATCAACTCTTCTGTTCAGGTTATTATATTTTGAGAAATCATGAAAGAGTAAAAAAATTAAAAAAGGAAACTCATGCTATATAACAATATCAATGAAAAGAAACAAGTTAACAAAAGTATTGGCAACTTAAGTGGTATTCAGCAAAGTATAATTGGGATACATGGAATCTCATTTAATACGAAGTCCTACATATTTGAAACTGGAAAAACTGCAATTTGAGTAGCATTTAACAATCTTTATGATGCGATGTCATAATTACCTCTAATTTGTTTAGAAACAAATTCCTGAATGATTTTTCAGGAAGACTATTTAACTACTGGTAGAGGTAGAATAAACACTTTCAGTATTTGCTGACAAATAAGGATTTAATGAGAAGTACAAGTTGTCATGTCCAAAACGAGCTTTACAACGTCGGTGCGGGGGGGGGGGGGGGGGGGGGGGGGGGGAGGGAAGGAGAAGGATTGGGATTGGGGGGGAGCGGGGAGGCTGGGAAGGGATGTGAAGGGTAAACAAAGGAGGAAGCTGCAATGCTTGGTAAGAAATGTACGCATTATCCTGCCCATGTAATTGTAACTCCTCTGTACAGTATGTTCACAAATAAAATAAAATTAAATTAAAAAAAAACTCATGATTTTAGTATGAAAGCTTGAAATAAAGGTACTTTCTTCCTCATGGCAGATTACTATAAGAAAAAGTACCATAAGTTATTTGTGTACATGTGTGTATTATGTGTGTACACATACATTTATATGTATGTATGTATATATACTGGACAGGGCTGAAGTCATACACATACATACTTATACAGAATTTGGCACATTACTGCTATAATAATTGCAATCACATAAAAATTCTATTTAAGTTACTGGGTTCCAGTGGCTTACATTTGTAATCTTAGCTACTCAGGAGACTAGACGTCTGCAGGGGAAAAAAAGACCTGGGCAGAAAAAAAAGTTCTTCAGACTCCATCATGAAAAAACTGGCAGAAAAGCAGAGCTGGAAGTGTGGTTCAAGTGACAGTGCCAGCTGAGAAGTATGAGGCCCTGAGTTCAAACTCTAATATAACAAGAAATAAATAAAACCTCCTCCATGTTCTTGTAGCACTACCTCTCTTGTTTTTATTACAAACCATTAAAAAGACTGAGCAGGCCCTAGGTTCAAGCCCCATGACCAACAAAAAAAATTTTAAATAAAAAGATTGAAGAATATTTTCATCAGATATTCAAAGTTCCTTTAAAATATTTGATAGGGGGAGATTTTGTAGATCCAGGTTGATCTGCCCCAAGCATAGGGTGGTCTGTAGTAAATTCATTTTTCTTTGTTGCCCACCCCCATACTCTTCAAGGAAGAGAATCCTTTTTCGATTTGAGGCTACACTCTGTCAACAGCGATGATGTTGAGGAATGCCTAGTTCAAAAAAGCAAGAGTCAGCTCTTATTTAGGATGAATTATTCATTCTTTGATTTCTCAACATACTGTTACTTCAGTGGTTTCAATCCTGGTCAAACTGAAAGGCACAGGCTAGATTTGAAACAGGGTCAACCAAGTCAAGTTTTCCTACTTAATCTCTAACTTCTATACCTTACTGGATAGGGCAGAAGTCACTCCAAAAGCATTGACTTCGTTCTCCATTTATAGATCATCTCCATTTATAGATTATCCAAAAGGATTTTTCAATGTTACATATGACTTATGACTTACGTAGATAAGCCTCTTGTCAGCTGAAGCCAAGCATATTAGCACTTGTCTTTCAGATCAACTCACCAATCATGCCAGAGGGACTTTATTATTTTTTCAGGTTTGGACTCTGTTCAGGGGATCTACTCCTATTCTTCTCTCCTATTCAGGACTTCTGGTTCCAGTTTGCTACTTAATCCTGTTTCTTCTCTTCCCTGCACAGTGCCAGTCCTCTTGAGAAACTTCAGATGATGGCAGAGCTATTCTGGAGCCAAGAGACTTGTCCCTTGGTCAGGGATAATGTGGCAGCACAGGGGTGGGTGGTGTTGTTACATGCCTGGACTTATGGCCTGATGTGGAGCACAGCTGGAAGAACAGTGGCCTGTGGCAGTTGATTTGTCTGCTGTCCCTCCATCTTATGTGCCATTGAATAATAAATGGTGAGGTGTCATTGCCTGAGCACCCTACAAGTTGATGTCTGTAAGGTAAAGTGCCCCAAGACAAGGACTGCACGCATGTACATTTACATTATGCAAGTATAGTACATTTCCTCAATGCTGCAGGCAGCTCCCAATAGTTCCTGAGATGCCAAGAAGTAACTATGATGTTTCATGAAACTGTCTTGAAGACTATGAAATTTTCAGGCTGATTTGGGATGCTTGATACATGAATACATGATTAAGTTCATTAACCCAACCAAAGCTTTGAGTATTCCATCCTAAACATAGAGTTGTTACTCTCCCTTCCCCTTCCCCTCCCCCCTCTTTTCCCCCCTTTTCCTCCCCCTCTCCTCTGTCTTCTTCTCCTCTTTTTCCTTCTCTTCCTCCATCTTCTTTCTTCTTCATACTGGGGCTTGAACTCAGGGCTTAGGTGCTATCCCTCCCCCTCTGTCTCCCCCATTCCCTCCTCCGCCACTCCTCTCCTTGATCCCTCTCTTCTTCTTCCTCCCTCTCCCCCTCCTCCTCCTTTTCCTCCAACTCCTCCTCCTCTCTTTCTTCCTCTTCTTCCTCCTCATTCTCCTTCTCCTTTTTCTTGGGGCTTGAACTCAGGGCCTGGGCACTACACCTTAGCTCAAGGCATGCATTCTACCACTTGAGTCATACCTCTACTTTTGGCCTTTTCCTTGTTTATTGAAGATTAAAGAGTCTCATGGACTTTCCTGCCCAGGCTACTGCTAACCACAATCCTCAGACCTCAGCCTGTTGACTAGCTAGGATTACAGGTATGAGCTACCAGCTTCTGGCTGCTTACTTTTCTTATAATAATTTACCATTCAATAGCAGCATCTTACATAAAACTTTGAAAACAACGTTTTCTCCCCCACAGACCCTTTTCAAGAATATGACAGGTGCAGAGGAAACAAAATAGTCAAGGAAATATACCCAAAGAAAAACTATTATTTCTGGAAGTCACTGTGTGGCTTTGCCTTGCAGTGAAAGCAAAGCGTGGATTACTCCCCTTACAGAATGCCAAGGAACATTATATTTGCTTTGTAAAGAGATGTTTGTAGAGAAAGAAGTAATAAGATGCAAAGGAGTTAATTGCCCCAGTAAAATATGGACACACTTGCTTCCTAGAGGTTGCTAGAATACAAATGTAACTATCAGCACTCATTACTCAGATCAAGTTGTTTCCAAAGCAACTATGATGGTTATAAATAAAACCCCAAACTGTTCAGTTAGGAAAATGGAAAAAAAAGATAAAAATAAATGGAATTTGAACTGCTTTAGAAAGCATGAGTCTCTGCTGGAATTTGTGGAGAGAAAAGAACTAGGCACCTTGTTTAGAGATTTTGTGTGGTAAAAAATATTTCATTTCCGAGGGTGGTATCCAAGCTTACATTAAATACAAAATAAAATCGGAGTCATTTTTATACGGTAGAACCATTAAAAATTTTTAGAAAGTGGTTACTATTATATTATTCTGTATACAAAATGAAGAGTACTAATCCTATGACACATTATGTTTTTAGATACTTCCAGAGACTTTTTAGAGACTTCCAGAACAACAACAGAATTTTGATATTTTTTCCCATTTGATACGTTAAGCAAATTTATCGATTATGTCAGAGAAACAGCAAAAATATCTAATCTGGGTTTGTTGATTTTGTCAAAGTTGAAGTAAAGAAGGAAAAGAGAGAGAGAGACAGAAAAGGTATTCAGGAGTAGAAAGGCAATGACCTAAAATATGTTTTAAAATATCTGTTCAGTAAGTTGGTGGTCTAAACAAAAAGAATATCTAAAGACACAGAAGAAGCTTTCTGACATAAATCTCCATGTGCCAATTCTATAGGAATTCTGTAGGATACAGCAAGGCAGCATTACCTTTGGCTACGTCGGTGGCCCACGTCATGATGTGATCCATGTCCATCTCCTCACTTCTGTTACTGTTGATGTAATCATACAGCGACCCCAGAGAAGCATATTCTAGTTTAAAAGGACAAAGAAGTACATAATTAAAACCAAATTACATTTCAGAAATAGGATTTCATAGCTCTATTGAAAAAACATGTTAGAGACCTTAGGAAAAGACATCAAAATTATATATAACAAAGTTTCTAAAAAATTGCTGGGGATGGGCGCCAGTGGCTCACGCCTATAATCCTATCTACTCAGGAGGCTGAGATCTGAGGATCAAGGTTCAAAGCCAGCCCAGGCAGGAAAGTCTATGAAACTCTTATCTCCAATAAGCCACCAGAAAACTGAAAGTGGTGCTGTGGCTCAAGTGGTAGAATGATAGTCTTGAGCTGAAGAGCTGAGGGACAGTGCCTAGGCCCAGAGTTCAAACCCCATGATCAACAAATATCTAAATAAATAAATAAAAATTAAAATAAAAAATTAAAAATTGCCAGGTACTTGTAGTTCATGCCTAAAATCCTGAGACAGAGGTTTGAAGCCAGCTGGGGCAGAAGAGTCTGTTAGATTTTTATCTCCAATAAATCAGCACAAAGGTGAAAGTTGGGGATGTGGTTCAAGCAGTAAAGCATCAGCCTTGAGCAAAAAAGCCAAATGAGAGTGCAAGGCCCTTGAGTTTAAGCCCCAGAACCAGCACTACCCATCCCCCTCACCACGCCAAAAAAAAAAAAAAAAGAGTTAATGTCATCCTAGAAAAAGGTCTATCAAAGACAAGGCTGCCACAGAATGAACAGAAAACTTCAGTGGAGAATCAAAAGCCATTTATTTAGCTGAAACTAAGAAACATAAAGAGGTATGGATTAATGTACTGGAAATAATCACAGGTATGTAAATAGATATTTCTTTAAAAAGTATTATTATGACAAATAGTGTTCAATCAGAGTATATAGCCATGTCAATGAATCAAATCCTGGTTACAGAGTTTTCCAAATTTCAGCACAAAACCTCAAGAAAGTGAGAAAATTCCTTTCAAAATGGCTTTAAAGTAAAATTACATGCCATAAAATCCACCAGATCTCAGTGGTGAAATTCCAGGGCTGGGCAGTAACTACCATAACACAGTCTTAGATCTTTTTTACTATCCCTAACTCCTCCCAGCTTTCCTCCCAGTCCTCACACTGGCCCTGGGAGCTGCCTTCCCTTTTGACAACTTAGCCTTTTCAGGGTGCTTCAAATGGGACCATACCAACTGTGGTCTTGGTGTCTAACTTCATTCCCTAAATGTAGTATTTTCATTGTGTATTCACATTGTGGCATGGAGCTAAAACTTCATTACTTTACGTAAATGAATTTTATTCCTTTGTATGGATATACATTTACTAGCTGACAGACCTTCGGATTGTTCCAGGTTTGAGGTTATTATGAATAATGGACATTCAAGTCTGCAGGGGGAATGTGTTCATTTCTCTTGGATACACATATTACTGAGATTAGAGTTCCAGGTCACAGGGCAAGTTTAGAAACTGTCAGATTGTAGAATTGTAGGTCACAGGGCAAGGTCAGAAACTATCAGATTGCACTGCAAAGAGTCTGTATCATGTAATGATGCCAGCAGCAGTAAATGAGGGTTTCAGTCTCTCCACATCTTTGCCAACACTTGATATTAGCTTTTGCATTATGTTTTTTCTGGTGCCATAATCAATAGGGTCCAATTCTAGCATATCTTGTAATCCCTTTTTAAAAAATGTAGTACCATAGTTTGAACTCATACTGGCTAGGCATGTGTTTATCTGTTGAGTCATGTCACCAGATCTTCTTTGCACTAGTTTAGGTTTGTGTCTGACTTTGGTACTCCTATATTACATTTCCTGATAGCTAAGGTGACAGGCGTACAATATCATGCCCAGCTCCTTCAGTTGATGTGGAGACTCACAAACTTCTTTGCCTGGACTGAACTGAAGCCCCAACTCCTCAATCTCAGTTTCCCATGTAACTGGATAATAGGCACATACCACCATGCTGTTAATAGCTGATCATTCACAAATATTTTCCCTTGGGCTAGCCTCAAGCTTAGTTCTTTTTAGCTCTTTTTAAAAGACTGACTTGGTTATTTCTAGTTCTTTTTTTATTTCCATGTACAGTTTAAGATTGGCTTATAAATTTGTATGGAACTATCAACTGAGATTAACACAGCAATTATGTTGAATTTATAGATCACTTTGGGAAGAACAGTCATGACCAACAATATTCAATCTTCCAAATCATAAACATGTAATGTTTATTTATTTAGATCTTTAATTTTTCTCACCATCCTCTATGTTTAAATCTTACACTCATTTGTAAAATTCATTACTCAATTATTTCATTTTTTTGAAGGCATCGTGAGTGGAGTTCTTTCTTAATTTTATCTCTAGGTTGTTCACTTCTAAAGCATAAAAACAACTGATTTTTGATACTGCCTTTCAATCCCTGTGATTTTTAAAAATGTGTCATAGGACTGTTTTGTGTGCAATACTGAGGATACAAGTTGTCATTAAGATAGTTTTACTTTTTTCTTTCCAATATGAAGTCCTTCATTTTCTTTTTTCTGCTTAATTTGACTGGCTAGAACCTTCCACCCACTTCTGAATACATGTGGTAAGAGTAGAACCTCCCTTTCTTATTCTCAGGCTTGGGAGAAACAGGAAGCTTTACTATTAAAAATGGTATGATCAGCTGGGTGCTGGTAGCTCAGGTCTATAATTCTAGCTCCTCAAGAAGCTGAGATCTGCGGATCCCAGTTCAAAGCCAGCCCAGGCAGGAATGTTCATGATACTCTTATCTCCAATTAACCACCAGAAAAACAGAAGTGGCGGTGTGGCTCAAGTGGTAGAGTACTAGCCTTGAGCTGAAGAGCTGAGGGTCAGTGCCCAGTTCCAGAGCCATGACCAACAACAACAACAACAAAAATGGTATTCTCTGTGGAATTTTTTAGATGCTATTTCTCATGTTGGGAGAACACTCCTTTCTATCTCTAGTCTGTTGAGATTTTTTTTTAATTGCCGATAGGTGTTACAGTCTGTTGAATATTTTTTTCTGTGTCTTGAAACATTTATATAAAGATTTTGCCTCGTGCTTTATATTAACCAATTTCAGATGTATTCTGAACCCTGTATTCTCGGGACAAATTCCATTTGGCCATGGTAGACGACCATCTATGGCTAGATTAGATATGTTAAAGTAGTTAAGATTTTTTGCATTTTTAAATCCAAATATGAGTTTATATGTAAAGGTCATATATGAATGAGTGAACTATATATGTATAGGATGCATATATCTAATGCATACCTATATAAAATATATAATATGTATGACACACACATAGAATTCACATATATTGGAGTCTGTGAAAAATCTATGCCATTTATTCCTACAGTATTTCCATGGGCTAAGGTTTTTGCATTTATTTTTATGACTATTAGTGTATGTTTTGTGTGGCTTTGATAAAGGGGTAGTACTGGTTTTACAGAACTCCTCTACCTTCTAAGAGCCTATGGGCAGGATTGGTATTATTTCTTTTTAAACAATATCTATTCTTACCTAGTGGCCTTACTTACAAAGTATCCTGAAGAAAATGTATTACAAATATGTGTTCTTTGTTGGGTGATGTGCTCTGTAGTATGTGAATTAAGTATACAGTTAGTTGGTTGAGAGCATTCCTGAAATTTCCTACATCCTTGCTAATTCTGCTTACTATATCAATCATGGAAAAGACTGAAATGGATTATTGCTCAATTGTCTATTAATTCTGAATCACCTTTTAATTTAGTCAATTTTTACTTCACATATTTTATGAGTCTGTTAGATATATATATATATATATATAGATATATTTATTTATAATTGTTATAAACTCCTGATATATGAACCCCTTTATCATTATAAACAATACCCTAACTGTTCTCTAAATTTTTTGCTTTATGTCTACTTTGTCTAGATTACTAATTACTATAGATCTCTACAGGTTACTGTTTGCATAATATTTCCTTATTTTTCCCTCCTACTTTTATCCTATTTGTGTCTTTGACTAAGGGAACTATCTCCTAAAGACAGTATGTAGTTAGAACTTGTTTTTAATATACAGTCATACGGTCTCTGCCTTTTGACAAGGATGTTTAGACCATTCACATTTAATGTAATTATTGAAGTATTTGGCATCTATTTGTTACCTATTTCTCCCGTCCTTCTCAGTCTTCAGCTCCTCCTGCACTGCCCTCTTTTTGTATTGTATTTATTTTCTTTTTCTTGTGTGTGTGTGTGTTTGTGTGTGCGTGCATGCATGTGTGCATGTGGATGTACATGCACACATGCATGTGTGTATGGTAATATCCAGGGTTGAACACAGGGTCTTATGCTCTCAGCTTTTTTGTCCATGGCTAGTGTCTTTCCACTTAAGCCAGTCTGCTAGTCCAATCCAGCATTTTGGCTGGTTAGTCTGAGATAGAATCTCATAGATTTTTCTGCCCAGATTGGCTTTGAACCACAATCCTCAGATTTCAGCCTTCTGAGAAGTTAGGATCAATAGTGTCACTAGTGTCCAGTTTGTGTTTAATATTTCTAGTGTATCTTTATATTTTCTTGATTACTTTTTTGAGACAGGGCCTTATACTGTATCCCAGGCTGGACTTAAATTTATAATACTTATGACTCATCTTCCTATGTGTAGGAATTACAGCTGTACGCAACTATGCCTGGTCTCCTTTTATATTGTACTCCTTGAATGACTTCTTTTAGTGGTGACACAAAGAATTATAGCATAATCACTTCAGATAATACTAACTTAAAATATAAGACATAAGGCATTTATATATCCTATTCTTCAATATAACTCAACTCTGTCTATCATCTTGTTTTTTTTGGGGGGGGGTCCAGTGGTCATGGGGCCTGAACTCTGGGCCTGGGCGCTGTCCCTCAGCTCTTTAGCTCAAGGCTAGCACTCTACCACTTGAGCCACAACGCCACTTCTGGCTTTTTTCTTTTTGCTTATGTGGTGCTGAGGAATCAAACCCAGGACCTCATGCATGCAAGGCAAG